TTTATCCCTCAGTCGAGATCAAGCGAGTCGAAGCGACCAGCATTACACAGAAGACAATGGTTCAAAAAGAGATTCAATATCTTGTTCATTGTTTGCTAATCGATCACATAGGACTATGAATAGGCGTGACATTTCATATTTGGAACAGTGTAGGACTTTTTTCCATGCAAATCACATAATTGTGATTCCTACATACATGACACACTAAATGACAAAAAACTCGTGTATTTAAACTATTTGATTTTGCTTTCATCTTACTTTTTCTCCTTTCCGTGCAAAAGAAAAGGTATCTTATAAAATAATGTTCTTAATCTCTTACTTGAATGGAATCGCTCATATCAATACAAAAGGTAGTTGAAAAATTTAGACAAAATTACAATACAGATACAAAACACAAACCTAACATAAATTTAGCAATGCAGAATCGTTCTTTTCAGTGTGATTCAATACTGTTATTTTCCTAAAAACATATTCTCTTGCAACTTAAGCTTACACTGAATGTTAGTTTGTAATGCAAAAAAAAATCTTTGACAGATCAATTTTTATCAACCTCATTTATTAAAAATCACATTCCAATTACTACCTTAGTCAAAACATTCGTCAGCTACAATACCAGTTCTTTATTATTTGTTCCACTCTGTACAACAACCATGCAAAAAATAAGAAATAGCAAAAATTTCCAGCGGCATCAATTCCACACAAAATCTAAACAATCACAACAATTCAACCATATTTTTCTATTCCAATCCTCTTCCGTTGATTCAAATCGAACTCTCCACAATCATATCGCCATAAAAATGAATTACCAAATGCCAAACTATCATTCACCTATCAATAACCAATGACAATAAATCACCATCCAACTTCCACTACACTACACCACACTAGGGGTGCAATAGTTCAGCTCTAGTTCTGAGCGTAGGAGCTGTTCGAAAGTTCATTTCAGTATGAACTGATTGTTTTGAGCAGCTCCTTTCAAAAGAGCTGATCTGATCGAACAGCTCTCTCTCTCTAAAGAACAGATTTGGATAGTATTTTTGGCTTAATGCCAATCAGTTCTTGAGAGAGAGAGCTGTTCGATCAAATCAGCTCTTTTGGAACGAGCTTTCGAAAAAGTTCAGTTCAGGAACGAGAGCTGTTCGATCAGATCAGCTCTTTTAGAACGAGCTGTTCAAATCAATCAGCTCCTACCGAAAGAACGTTCGAACAGCTTTTTCGCTCAGCTCAGCAGAACTTTTGAGCTGGAGCTGATGCACCCCTACACCACACTATCACTGGATGAAACCATCGATAAATAATACGCTTAACATATCAATGATGGGCAAAACTGGATCACACATGTCAAATATCCACACATCACTCAATATTCGAACCAAAACACGACCAAAATATACGCCAATAACAATATCAATTCCCAAATACGGGGGAGCTAAATCCTACACGTTCATTGTATCAAAATTGAATAATTAACATTACCAAATTATTCAACAATCGATTCCAACCACAAGCATCCTTTAAATTGCTTCCATTTCACCTAAGCAACACATATAGCCATACTAACCAAATAACGATAATTCCATTCAAAAATGAATGCTGCGATGAAACAAACATGAAAAGATTTGTCTCACTTCATCAAAATGATATCATTTTTGAATCATTCGCATCACCCTTCCATTCAAAAATCAATGCTGGCGATGAAGAAAACATGAGATGATTTGTCTCACTTCATCAAAATGAAATCATTTTTGAATCATTCGCAAGATCCTTCCATTCAGCAATGAATGCTGATGATGAAACAAACATGAAATGATTTGTCTCACTTCATCAAAATAAAATCATTTTTGAATGATTCGCATAATCATTCCATTCAAAAATGAATGTTCATGATAAAACAAACATGAAATGAATTGTTTCATTTCCTCAAAATGAAATCATTTTTGAATGTTTCCCACTATAATTCCATTCAAAAATGAATGCTGATGATGAAACAAACATGAAATGATTTGTCTCACTTCATCAAAATGAAATCATTTTTGAATCATTCGCAAAAACCATCCAATCAGAAATGAAACATNAATCATTTTTGAATCATTCGCAAGATCCTTCCATTCAGCAATGTATGCTGTTGATGAAACAAACATGAAATGATTTGTCTCATTTCATCAAAATGAAATCATTTTTGAATCATTCGCAAGATTCTTCCATTCAGCAATGAATGCTGATGATGAAACAAACATGAAATGGTTTGTCTCACTTCATCAAAATGAAATCATTTTTGAATGTTTCCCACGATAATTCCATTCAAGAATGAATGCTGATGATGAAACAAACATGAACTGATTTATTTCACCCCATCAAAATGGAATGATTTGGAATGATTAGCACGATGATTCCGTTCAAAAATGAATGTTGATGATGAAACAAACATGAAATGATTTGTTTGACTTCCTTAAAATGAAATCATTTTTGAATCGTTCCCAGAATCATTCCATCCAAAAATGACTCGCGATGATGAAACAAACATGAAATGATTTGTTTCATTTCATCAAAATGAAATCATTTTTGAATGATTCGCATAATCATTCCATTCAAAAATGAATCGTGATGATGAAAGAGACATAAAATAATGTGTTTCATTTCTTCAAAATGAAATCATTTTTGAATTCTTGTTACGGTCAATGGTTTATTCATGTATTTAGTTGAACCAGTTTGTGTGGAAATTGCTGTAGTAGTGTATTGGGATGTTGTCATAGTTGAATAAGATTGATAGTCGTCGTCGGGTGGGTCTGTCGTTTGTTGTTTTTGAATGTCTGTTTTGTGGTTTACTAAAATTTGAAAGAAACATGGTTTTGGTGTGTGTTGTATGTGTTGTGTCGTATGTGAAATATCTGTCGTTTAATGTTGTGTTGATAGATTGAACTTAACTGTGAATAATAATTGTTATTAGCGACTAGAAAATTCTTGTTCTATTATGGGCGGATGAGACTTATTTCTTCGGCATTCTGTCGAAAAGTTTTCGGTAACATATGGCTATGTTATTGCCGCTGGCAACCGTCGTAGTCGAAATTTCATGGTGAAAAGAAAAGAAAATTACGTGTGACATAAGCGGCAGTGTGAAGAATTTTGCGTTCTGTTCTTTATATTTGATTGTTAGAGCTACATCGTATGACTAGGTTATTAGTGTTAGTTGTTTTTTCCTGAATGAAGAGCGCTGTGTTGTGCAGATAAAGGATATTGTGATTTAGTGTCAATTTTTTTTCTGTTTTCGAAAAAAGGTGAATTATTTTTAAGAATGGATTTGAGAAATATGGTGGAACCAGTTGTAATACTGCATTGTGTTTGAAATTGGTTTTTGTCAGTATTTTGTTTGAATGAGAAAGAAATCGGTGTTTGGAGCGATTGTATTGAATTTTTTTGCCGATATGTGACGAATGAAGGTGGCTAATATGTTTTTGTTGTGTTTAAAGGATATATGATTGACTTGAGAAATGTTTTGATTAGTTTCCCATGTTGATGAGACTTTTCTGAGAAGGGAGCTAATGTTTTTGTGGAGTGATGAGATATGATTGGACTTAAGGGCATGTTTTGAATGTTGTTAGAAATTGAACAAGTTTTAGGAAAGGATGGAAAGGAAATCCTTAAAGATGGCACATGTCTGGTTTTGTATTTAACATCGTTGTTATCGATCGATATATTTTCAATAACAGCATTTGGATGGTCGGGAAAATGAAAAATCATATTGAAGATTGCTTACGCGCAATTAGTCTATTTCATCGTATTAAAGCGTTATGATGTTTGTGGATATCTATACTAGAGGCCGTCGGGTCCAACAATTTTTTCAATTCGGACCCGAAAAAGTAAATACGTGTGGTTTCATCATTTTTAAAGGTACTGCACCGTTCGAACATGTATCTTGTAGAGAAATGATTCCTCTATGAGCATATGTATTTAAAAACATACAATAATTTTGGGAGTCCAGAATTTTCTTATTACAAACCTCCGGGTCCAAATTTTCCGGGTTCGACCGGGGCCAAACTTGGACCCGGAAGTTTGTAATAAGAAAATTTTGGACTCCCAAAATTATTGTATGTTTCTACATACATGAGCTGATAGAGGAATCATTTCTCTACAAGATACATGTTCAAATGTTGTAATACCTTTAAAAATGATGAAACTACACGTATTTCTTTTTCCGGGTCCGAATTGAAAAATTGTTGGACCCGACGGGCTGTAATCTATACACTAGTTTAGCTCCTCCTCCATGATAGTTGTAATTATAATTGTTATACGGTGATTTTTATATTATGTGACATTCTAAGTTCACTTCTGAAAGCGGATTCTTACAATAAAGATAATGACTAATGTTGGATAATGAACGGAAATATTTATTTAGATTTTATTGAAACATTAAATTTCCTCTTCAGATTCGAAGTAAATGCCGATATTCTGTTTATCTTCTAAAGGGTTTAATCACATTCGAATCTGGCGTTGTTTGAAGAGGTTAAATTTATTTCAATGCAAAAATGGTATAACTTTTTACATGTTTACCCATCTGTTAAGATCAAGAGAATGAAAAAATTGAGATGGCAATAAAACGTAATGGATCTACTCGAACGGTGCAGGGTTACGATAGCACTCGTCATATTCAAAATATTGTTTCATGGTAATGGAAACTCCATCAGAAATAAATTCTTTCCAGTAAAGTATTCGCGTTCACATCTTACGTCATAATCATCAAATGTCATCGAAGCGAGCTGTTTGATAGACTCTTAAATGTTTTGCAAAACAAAGTAAACCATCAGATGTCCTCAACTTCCTTCGTCAGAGTAACTATATGATAGACATTTAATACGGCTTGAAATAGAATCATTTTTTCAATTTAATGTAAATTACAATAGAAAAGAAAAATACGTAGATTTTCGACGTTTCGGAGTAATTAAAACTTCATTATCAAGAATTTATTTGCATATGTACAAAGTATAAGAATTCCAAGTGTAAATATGATGAAAATAATAGCCGACGTATTCATGACCAATCTTGAAACAACATTGATGGATAAATTAATTAATGCAGGTGTTTGTGAATGGCATCGATATGTTGACGATACCTTCGTACTTTTTAATTCAATTACTTGTATCGATAACATATTATCAATTCTGAATAACTTTCATCCGTCCATCAAATTTACTTACAAGATTGAAGATGGTGATAAATTGGAATTCCTTGATGTTCTTATTACTCGATCAACTGAATGTCAATTGTTTCAAACAACAATCTATCGTAAACCAACTTATACCGGCTTGTTAATGAATTATCACTCTTATGTACCAATGCAATATAAGAAAAGTGGTATAATTACTATGGTAAATCGAGCACTTATTATATGTTCAACTTATACATCATTAGCTGCTGAATTTAATGAAATACGTCGAATTGGATTATTGAATGGTTATACATCATCTTTCATCGACACTATCATTGGCATTAAACTTCGTCAATATCGAAAAAAGAACAATGATGTTATACAATCACCACAAACTGGATCTGATGTTAAAAAACGAATGTATGTTGAAATACCATTTATAGAAAATGCTACCAAAGAATTTAGAAATAAAATAACGCATTTATGTAACAAACTTCGACCAGATCTAGATATCCAATTTTTCATGAAACCACCACCAGCTGTTCAAATGTTATACCAAACGAAAGATCCCATTAATAAGAAAATGAAATCTGATGTCGTTTATTCAATAAAATGTACATAATCTCAACATTCATACATTGGTAAAACAGAAAGACAATGTATAAAACGTTTACATGAACATGGTGCATCTAAGTCATCAAGTCAACAAGAACAGCAACACCCCAAACAACAGGATGACAATTGCACCCATCAATCTAATAACATCGTTGAATTAAGAAGATCAGGTCGCTTAAGAAACAAAACCAACAACGACGACAGCAATTACGACAACAACAACTATAACAATCTCATCCGTCATAAAAGAAATAACGTCTGCAGTTCAACAACATCAAATCGAAACAGGCCACCAAATGAACTGGGATAACTTTGGTATTGTCATGCAAGATAACCACTACTATCGATTACTCATCAAAGAATCATTACTAATAAAGGCTTATGAACCACAACTCAACAGAACAACACACTCTGTGCCATTAATCGTCTTTCCTGATGGGCTACAGAAAGAGTTACTACCTAAGCCATTTGATAATGATTAATACTTTGTAATTCTTTTGTATTTGTTATCTTGTTCTCTCTTTCTATTTTCGTGTTATTTTCATCATATTTATACTTGTATTATTTTCATACACTTTGTACATATTCAAATAAATTCTTGATAATGAAGTTTTAATTACTTCGAAACGTCGAAAATCTACGTATTTTTCTTTTCCATTGTAATTTACATTACACTGAAAAAATGATTCTATTTCAAGCCACTGTTATTTATCAATTTATACTTAAATTATTGCCCCAAAAAAATATCTAAAGCTTTTTTCTGAATTGATAATCTGATTTGAGTATACAATAAATTATTCTTATAATTTTTCGAACTTTTGTTGCTTTTTAAAATTTTTAAAATTCTTCCATTAAAAAGTAGCGAAATAGTGCAGTAACTTTTATCACTACAATGGAACTAACCACTCGGAAATAGTTTAACATTTAAATTTTGTGCAGTTATGTGCTAATATACTGTGTGGGTTTGCTGAGAATAACACAAGGACATCCATTGAGCTGCACCTGATTTTAAAAGGTTCCGCCGACCATGGTTCCGTGAGGGTAGTATTAGAAGCATCGTGAAAAATCAGAATTGAAAACAGATTAATAGTTCTTATCGTCAACATCAATCATCGAAAACTTTCAACTAGAAAAACTTCACTGTTTAATACTTTTATAAAGTCAGAGTTATTTTTAGATTGAAAAGGTACTGTATATCATTATGATCAGGCATCTCTTGAAAGGAATATTTTTTAATGGTATATCATATATATATACGTGTGTTAAATGAGAGAAACATTCATGGCGATGATGCAGTCTTATGATAAGCAATATCAAACAAGAAATGAAAGATTCATGTTGTATCTATAGAAAAGTGCATATTTCAAAACAAAACAATGGTATAGAGAAAGTTGTAAGTTTTAGAAACTGAGTTGCACCGTCTACGAGTCGTTTAAGAATGATTTGACTTTTAATTCATAATCTATCATATCATCCAGATACAGAAAAAGATTTAATT